TGAATCCTAAACAAATCTAATGTGTTGGAGTTTTGCAATGTTTTGGTACATTTAGTTTGAAATATGCTGCGGCATCAGATGGCCGCTGACACTGAGCCGGGTTCTGCTGGAGGTTTCTTCCTGTTAAAAGGGACTTTTTCCTCTCCACTGTCGCTACAAGCATTCTTAGTGTGAGGGATTGCATTCGAGTCAATGAGTCGATGCAATCAACTGGTTTTCCTTAGAAAGAAAACTTTAAATTAATCTGACTGTATGATCTGGTGAACTGTAAAGTGCCTTGAGATGATGTGTTGTGAATCGGCGCTATATAAATAAACTGAATTGAATTGAAGAGGTTTTATAAGTATGTTTGATGATTATTCATGCATTCTCCTTTTATTCATTTGATCTGTCTGGCCATGGCTCAATGCTCAGCAGAAGCTTGTCTCTCACCATAGCAGAATGTTCTCTCATCAGGTCCTCTTCTCAGTGCTAGTTTCTGTCTGACCAGGCTGTACCTCTGTGCACAGGTATGGACATGGAGCAGAAGACCAGAAACATGAAATTAAAGTTGAACAAGTACAAGCAGGGAGCCAGCTCCGACTCCAGACTTGAACAAGACTACCCCAAGGTACAAAACCACCCAGATGCTGGATTCAGACTTCAACACATGGTTCAGAGTAAACATCACGTTCCTGCTTTGCTCCTGGTTGTCTTACAGTCCATGACACACAGTGGCATTTTCGGGAAGCTTTCAAGCACAGTACTAACTCTCTCAGGAACATTCTTCCCTGCTCATTTATTTGTGCACATTTTAAATAAATAACATAGGTTTGCTCAATGGAGATTTAGTCGTATCTTTTAAATCTTTTTTTTTTAGCTTCACAGAGTTGAAAAATATGTACAAAAAATCTGGAACTTGTGCTTTGCTCCTTTCAAAAGTAAAACTTGTGATTATATCTGAATCATTGTACATTTTACCATGTTATAGTCACAAACAATTATCAATACAAAGTGTATGATCCTGGAAAGAAGGTTTTTTTAGGTAAACAGCAACAAATTCAAAATATTAGTCATCATATTAGGGCTGTTTACAATTCAATAACTTTTATTTTAATCTTTAAATTCAGTATGTTGCAAGAAAAAAATAGTTAAAAATTAGCCCTTAATCTTATGCAAAGATCTTCATGATATCAGAAAAAAATTTGTTTAGGGGTTAAGATTATGTTATGAAACATTTAGATAATTCATTCAACTTTTAATAAATTAATTCATCAAAAACTTACAGGAGTGTAGCAAGAACAATCCCTGTGCCGAAAAACAAAAATGTTATATTTACAGTTTTTCCCAGTTGGTATAGGGGACACATGTGGAACGATATCCTTTGACCAGACAAGAAAATAATCAAACTTTTTGACATATATGTAAAATGACATTCAAGGACATTGCTAACACTGTACATCATTCTGAACAAACCATCGTTCCTGTAAAACAAAGTGTTTAAAGACTCATTGTCACTTCTTTATAAGCATGGTTTCTGGTTGGATGTATTATGCTAAAAAAAAAAAAAAAAACAATAAAAAATCTACAGGAGAAAAATACTAGGGACAGCTCAGAGGTTGACAAAAACCCTAAACATGCAGAAAGAGCTACAGTAGAATGCATTAAATGAATTAATACTGTATATTTTTTAAAGGCATAGTGGAGGTTTAGACCTAAATTAAGAATTTAAAGCAATACATAAAAGTTGATCTTTGAGCTATATAAGAAAAGAATTACAAATAAATAATATTTTTAAACCACAAAGCCTGTAGAGACATATCAAAACAATATGAATCTGTTTTTCGTTTGCGATAAATGTATTCAAAATCATCCTTTTCCTTCGTTTTCATTCTTTAAAAAGATTAATACTTTCACTAGGCATATTTTTACTATATATATTTGGATTACTTAGTGTAACTTGGTAAAAAGACACTGCGTTGTTGTTTTTCAAATATTTTCTGCTTTGCCAAACGAAAACAATGCTAATTTATTGTTTAATAATGAAATCAGAATGGATAGAAAAATAAAACCAAAGCTCAGAGCGTCTATTTATAGTTCTAAAGAATGTGTCACTGAGTTTTTCCATAATCAAATAGCTGCTATTCGTCTCTGGAAAAAGTTCTGAAGACTTTCAGGAAAATTCACCTGCTATCACACTGAAGCCAAGACAAAGACAAAGGTCTGCATTCCTTTTAAGTCAGTGCTATGCAAACTATTGCACTGACAGAAGCTGCACGCTTTTTTCAAGGTCTATAAAAAGCAGATTTAGTTGTAAGTTGTCCCTGTCTGCCGAACATTAGAGCGCTCATTGACATAGCAATGCGGTTCCTATTAGTAAACCATTTGGCGACTGTTTTTGACACAAACAGTTACTGTAACTCTCAGCCCAGCTACTCTTACAATAAACATTCCCCTTAGAAATATAAACACTAAACTAGCTCTGTGTCAAGATGATCATTCCAGACCAGCTTCCAATCAAGTGTATTGTGTTCTCTAATCATTCCCTATTAGACAATTAATGGCTGCTTGTTTGGTTAATAATTTTACTGGATAAAAGGGAAGAAGTTATTTTATTTGCACGATGCGCTTATATCTCTATAGCAATTATAAAAAGCAGGACTGTTGTCTGCAAATGCACTTTGGGGTAAAGAGAGGGTATGGAATTCATTTTGTTTCATTATTTTTGCATGCAAAAAACATATGTTGTGAATAAAAGTTTGACAAAAAAACAAAAAAACGCCACACTGAACTAAAACAAAAATAAAAATGTCTTATTTAAAATAGCTTTGAATTTTTTTTTTCTGTTTTTTTTTTCAAATAAAAAAATCAGATTTTTTTTTTCAAATTTCATTTATTGACATTTTTCAGATGGTGTGCATTTAGAAAAAATCACATTAAACTTATTTTCCTTATTGAAAATAACTCTTTTCAAATCGGGCTTTAGATATACCTCTTCAGTGGGCAGACTTTTCTCTGAAGTGAAGAGTGAAAACATATTTCTATGGGTCTGCGTGGACATTAGCAACAACATTTTTATTGGACAAGAAAGCTTTTATGCTGAACTTGACACAACTCCCAAAAACATTTTATAAACGTTTTTCGAAGTTATATTCTGGATTGCATTTCTTTTTTTATTTCCATTTGCATGTCTTTTTTGTTTGCAACAATAATGAAACAAAATTCACACCATAAGAGCAGAGATTTTTGGTCTCACACCATCCCAGCTTCATAAAGCAGCTGTATTTTTTTAAGTGTTTTGCTAGTAGCATCTTTAAAAATGAAAATAATGTTTTAAAATATTGAAATAATGTTTCCAGACATCAGCCAGTAAGTTTAGCTCAGGTTCACTAAGGTCCTAGAAAAACCAGTAACAACATTAACAATACTGCCAGATTGATAATAGAGTAAAACAATGTTTTTAATGATGAATTAATTCTGTAATTTTTAGATCACTGGCATATTTTAATCCTTATAGATAATTTTATTAAGGTAAAATATTTTACATTCATCTTATTAATTAATAATTATTTAACAAATTGATTTGCCTGAATAAATATTAACCCTTGTTACTAATTTTTTTGTCTTTCACAAATGTATCCCGGAAAAACCATTGCATTAAGATTCCTATTTGCCTATCTGTCTACAGCGCTCAGGCAGAGACCCACGGGCCGCTGACAACCTGTCAGCCAAGTCATCGGACAGCGATGTAAGCGACGTGTCCGCTGTATCGAGAACCAGCAGTGCCTCTCGGTTCAGCAGCACGAGCTACATTTCTGTCCAATCAGAAAGACCGCAAGGAAACCGCAAGATCCGGTAAGTTCGCATCGAGATCAGGGAGATGACATTTCTCTCTTGAAATGGGAAAACTGCTTCTCGCCTGCATACCTCAATGTTCAGGTGTTTCTTTTTCTGCTGTTTACATCTAAGAAGAGAAATTCATTTTTTTAGATATATTTATTTGGTCAGGTTCATTCTATGTTTCTTAGAACAAAAGAACCAAAATTCCTGAACTTCCCTTAGTCATGCTTTGGATTAATTGCTGCATATCTTTCACTAAACAGTTAAACACAATTAATCTTTTAGTCCAACTTAAACCAAACTCATTTGCATGATGCTTTTCTCTGAGCTCACTTTGTTTTTGTTTAACGTTCCAATCGGCTGCTGTGTCTCTGGATCATTTGTCTCTTGTTTTTGATGTGGTTCATTTCTTTTTGCCTTGCATGTGCTGTTGTCTTTTCGCTTCTGTCTCCATTTTCAGCCAGTTGCAGTCCAGAAGGCATTCATGGGAAGTAGATAATCAGTTAGGGGAGGTGCAGGAGGAGGATGAGGCTGGAGACAGGGGGAGAGAGAGTAGTAAAGAGGAGAGGATGCAGGGTGGGAGCAAAGAGTCAGGGAGAAAGATAGAGAGAGACATGGAGCAGCAGGAGGATTTGATGGATAAAGAAGAGGAACTGCACCAAAGGAGTGCCTCAGAGACTAACCTCAGGTAATACATATGCAGTGGTCTAACAAACAAAGATGGCTACTAACTTTACTAAGAACCTAAAGCTCCTCTGGCCCACTAACATTCCTAAGTTCCAACCACTATTTGTTGTGTTGGTCTCTACCCCTCATCCAAGAGGATATCTGTGACCCTAATACCCCTAATTAGAAGTTTAATGTGCCATTTATTAAATTCAATTGGTTATGAAAAGGAGCAAAAAAATAAATAAAAAAACTGAGACTGGATCCTGATGTCTTTAAAAGAACAATTTGATCCGCTAGGCTGATTCTTCTTTTATTCACAACAGAAAAGGAACAAATGTCTTTGCATCTAGGTGTATTTTTTGGTACCCCTAATGAGGTGGAAATTATGAAAATATATTTAAAAAGTAAATAAGAGTTATGTAATGCTGTTGCATAATCTCACACTGAAAAGAAACAACGATCAATTTGAGTTAATTATTCAGGGGGAAGAAAATCAATGTCAAGGAACAAACATTTTCAACAAATTCACAGGTTCTAGGAATAAAACGGATGCTAGAAAAAAATCTGAAAGTGTTTTCACACCAAATATGATTTATAAATATCTCTCCTGATTTTATTTTATGAAAATAAATTATAAATATCAGTAACTATAAAAAAAATACTTTTATTTCAGTGATCCTCTCTGGAAATTAAACTGAATTCAAACTGAACCGTGGATAAGTACAAGCTTTGAAACTTGGTCAAACAAGCTTTCAGGCGACTCTGTAAACAATGAAAATAAACCAAACGTTTGCAAAAAAAAAAATACAGAGTTCCAAGAAAATATAAACTTCATTCACACAAATTTGAATTGATTAATAAAATCTATTTATGATAAGCAATCTTTATGATAATCTGCCCCCGATGTTTGGAAAGTTGCTCTGTTGAAAGAGAGTGGGACCATTTACTGGTAACTTTAACAGTCTTTCATAAAATATCCTGGTTTTACAGAGAATACATGATGCTGTGCTCTGAAACATGGTTTCTAGAGGCTTTTAAAGAGAAAAAAAAAGCATCACAGATACACAATTAGTTGGAGCAGTTATGATGAGCAATGGGTGCATCCACCTATTGTTTCATGGCACCATTTCAGTTAAGTTCAGTCAACATGTTAATATCTGAACTGTAAGGCTTCACTTGCAAGCAATATGGAGATGTTGTGGCTCTAATACGCTAATATGTGAATTATAGATTGCTGAATCAGCAAATGCTTTCATTTATTTAAATTCAATAAAGTCACTTTATTTATATAGGACCAATTCACAACAATGTCATGTCAAGGCACTCTACAGTTCACCAGACAGGCCCCGATCCAGCACTAAAATGTTGGTATCGGTATCAGTGAGTACCAACAAAAGGGCACCAATACCATTTTGAGAGCCATAAGTTTATTCAACTATTGTCACCCATTCCAGGTAGGCAATAAAAAGTTCTACTGGATTCACTTTGTATTAGTCTTTTTCCTGATTCACAAAGGTAGGCAGCAGCTTGATAAAGCCATGATGGCAATTATTTTACATCTAAGTAGTATGCAGTTCTTCATACAGACACATCAGTTTCAAACAGATGGTATCGGTATTGGGCCGATATTGCACAGCCAGGTATCGGGTATCGCTATTGAGGCTACAAATTAGCATCGGCGCAACACTTTTAAATATATGTGGTGCAAATATGCACTATAACTAGAACATAACTAGGAAGGGTTATTTTCTGGACTGTCAGCTCCTTCATTTTTATAGCAAAAAGAACAACTACTAAAATCACAACCTGAGATGAGACTTAAGCCACAAAAAAAGAGAAATAGCAGGCAACAGAAGAATAGACCTTGATTATAAAACAGACAAAAGCCAAGGAAGAAAAAAAATCAGAAAACTCTGAGAGGCAAATAGGTGCAGCATTTAATCATTTTTTTACTGGAATAGTCTCCAAATATATTAATTTTTGTGGAAAAATGCACCCAGCTTATTTTCACTTAATCTTGAAACACGTGCAGAAAGGAATGGTGCATAGAGATTAGGTTGTAACATGTTCCAATTATATTTAAACCGGCACCATTTCAGTGAGGCCACAGGAGAGTTTGTCTTCATTGTGAACACTTTTAGAATAGCAATTCTGAAAAAGTATGTCAAGAAGAAACTGATTAAGAATCCCAGAGCTGGATAAAAGCTTAGCTTGCACCGCTAATAAGATGCTTCACCATCAAATTAAATTCACAGCAGGATCCAGGTTAGCGCCTCTTTCCAATATTAGAAAATGCCCCTTGGTAGTCAGAGAAATCACTTTAAGATTAAAGCCATGAGCGGCTAATGTTGCAGCCAGGTTTACAGTCAGCTTGATTAGGAAAACACATTCTTTGCCTCTATTGTAGCAGCTTCATGCTTGGACTTTCTCTGTATTGCAGATATAGTGTGTTAACTGGAGAATTTACATTGTAGATCGAAGCAATGAGTTTAAAAACCACTTCCCATCTTCCATTAGACATGCGTAATGTGTTGGCTTCCTGTTCTTGCTGTGATTTCTTTTGATGTCGTATCCATGTGTTTCCTATCAGCTCTTATTCTTCACTTTTTCACATTTTTCACTCAGACTCCCTTTCTCATCGTGCCACGAACAGTTTACTTTCTTATTGTAACACTCAATATTTATTACCAAATAAATTGGTGATTAACCTTTTACTTTCAGAAAATGAAGTGTAAATGAACTAATTTCATTTGATTGGATTAGATAAATATGCACTCAATGGATTAGATCTGAACTGAAAGTGAGCTGGACTGGTTCTGATTTGAACTGCCTGCCTCTGTGATCAACCCTACTTTTTTTCATGACCGCTACAGTATAAAATATATATCCTATAGGGCTTTGCCATAGTATTCACAAACATTGACCTCTTTTTACGTTTTGTCACATTAACCCATTTCATGTAATATAAGCACAAACAAAAATAAATGATGAAAATAAATACTGCATTAAATAAAAATCCCTATGAAATAAACAATATCAGTGTATTCTCATTATCAGTACGTATGAAATCGTACGAAAAGTTATGCACAGTAATTTCTAACTTTTTTGATGTTTTTTTTTGTCGTATTTCGTCGTATTTTTACGTCTTGCCTCGAGACAAGATATCCTTGCGCATGCGCATCTTACACACCATTCAATAACATAGAATTTAACATACAATTAACCGTAACCCTAAGATACAAAACAGCAAGCAACCTAGTGAGAGACATGAAGAAGTAATTATTGCACTGTTTTTCCCAGTTTTATGTCCGTCCGCGGATCTGCTTTTTTCGTCTGTCTGCCTGCGCATGCGCACTAATCTGTTTTTTTGAGGAAAAACGTCAAAAACGTACGAAATACTGTGCATAACTTTTCGTACGATTTCATACGAACTGATAATGAGAATATGTTGACAATATGTTAAAATAATCTTTGTTTTATTATATTTCAAGATTTTCATTTATTCAAAGATTTATGAGCACAGGTATGGATTGTGATTCGAGTACGCATCGGGTAGTGACAGGAATACTGTCACTATAGAGCAGGAATACTATGAATTGATTGATAATCATGAATTGCGTGTTTCCGGTTTTTCAAAGCAGATGCAGCGCTGGCCAACAGATAATGCTCTGCCTCCTTTTTTGAATATAAGAACATGTATTAAAAGCTTAAAATGAAAAACGGAGTCAAAAAAATAAGTAAATGAGTACGTAAAGTAGCTTTACAAAATAAAAGCTTCACAAAATAACAGAAATAAATAAATAAATTCATAAATAGCTAAATAAATACATAATATAATTCATAATATAATAAATAAAGTAATGAATAGATCTTTGAATAAATAAAAATTTAAATATAATAAATGAGATACATTTTTTTTACATATTTTATTCCATATGGATATTTTTTGACAATTTATTAATAGCAGTATTTGTTGAGATATTTTTCAATGAAACAGTTTCTCTATTCTTCAAATCAATGAATTAATGTTTTTCCGGCAATAACTTAAAAAAAAAAAAACAAGAGGGTAGAACAAGAAGGTAGAACTAAAACAAATAATTTTCACAATGTTCACATAAGCAAGCCTTTTAAGACATGTCTCTTGCATATAGTCAGAACACTCCTTTATTTCAAACACAGAAACACATATTTTGAACATTTTGCAGATTCAATACCATGAGTCCCCTAGTATGTCTTAATGTTTCTGTCCGCCAGTGTCAATTTTTGTCAAATTTGAGGGAGGAACCAACCTGAGAAAGTAAACTATGTGATTGGTTACTTTTCAGGAAATCACGCCTCAACTGTTT